TAGACGTTGGAGGTAGTCACAATGTGTGACGTCCGTATAGCAGACAATGTTTTTTAGTGTCGTCGTAATAAGTAACTCGAAAAAAATAATAACATTTCGGGTGCCCGTGCTAATCGTAATATAGCCGCCGTGATCAGCTGTCGAGTGTCTAGCAAGTCAGTCACCTCGATTGATGATAACACGCATAAGCAATCCGACTTAACGTCAGATCCACTACTCCGAAGCCGGCTCGTAAATGAAAATAGTATTTTTACCGTGCCAAAAAATGTAAATTCACTGTGGTGTTCACGACTAACTCACCCGTTAAATCATCTATATTCTTACTTTATATAACAAAATATATTATTTATTACTATACTATATCCATTGAGTACACAATGCAAACGACATGCATACTTACGTGCATCTACATAAGACATAATTCATAACGCATCATTATAAAATATATGACTATGCTAAAACCCGATTGTCTGATAGATATGCACTTAAAATCACTGATAAGGCCCGTAATCACTAACGAATAAACGAAGGTGTTCTGAAATAATAGCATACTGTATTTCCATCAAGAATTTCAGCGTTGCATTGCCAAAGGCGTAACAATATAGAAGAGAAACTCGATCAGCTGGTCGGGCTTTTGTTTCCCTGTGAACCTCCGAAAAACATGGAAACGCTTCCGCGCACCAACATGGTGTTAGACCCGAGGTCTCCCGTATTATGTGAACGTTTGATAAAAGTCGCGCCTGCGGTAATGATATAGCGATAGCGGGCGGACCGACGATAAACGGTCGGTGATAAGGCTTTGGCGGTATGTTTGAAAACCGTGTTTGCGTGTGTATCAATAAATTCGAGTGATGGGCTATGGCATTATTATAACCATATGAAAACATTTTGCAAAAATGAAATAAGAACGATGGCCAAAAGTGTAAGTTTTAATGCCGTGTTCGAAAGAATAATAAAAATATAAAATTTAGATATAATATGTCTATACAATAAATTAGTTTATCAGCCGTGCGATTTCATTACCCCCATTGGTTACCTGCCTTGACTCTTGTTATTGTCGCCGTTCTAAGACAATGGACTGTGCCGACGTCCGACTAACCGTTCTCAAACGTCCTACTGTCGTTGAGCAGATCTGTACATATCTGCTCCTGTTATAGTTCTGCTCTACTGTTTTTAGCTGTACCTACTACCTACATTAAAACAACGGAATCACGTGAGTATACAATGTAATATCAATGTTATAAATATTCTATTGTTAATTTAATTCGTTTGCTTTTGAAAACATGCTTTCCGTTTAACGAATTTAATATTTTATCTTATAGTTTCGTTTTACTATACACTTTCTTTATTGCTTTTTATTTGTCAACTTCAGAATGAGTAACAACGTATAAAACATTAGCGGCAATTGCCAAGCGTACATCGTACAGGGTACGCGGATCGTATATATCAATTAAAATATAAGTGTTTTACTATACACTTTCTTTATTTCTTTTTATCTATCCACTTTAGAATGAGTATAATAAGATACATTGGATTGTTTTTTAACACGTCCAACGCGGATCCTTTTTATGAATTAATAATATCTTATTATAATAATATATAAATTTGCGGAGAAAATCGAGCCTTAGTTTTGTTTGTAACACATGGTTTCTGTGAAACAAATTAAATATTTTTCCTATTTTTTTTTTTTTTTAACACGTTCACCTACGATCGCATTAATCAAATAGTATTGTTATAAAATTTACATTTGCGAAGAAAACCGTGACTTAGTTTTAGTGTGCACCACATGCATTTTGTTTAACGAATTTAATATTTTATAATATCACCAACATATCATAATAATACCGACAGATCACTTAAAGTTTCGTTTTACTATACACTTTCTTTATTGCTTTTAATTTGTCAACTTCAGAATGAGTAACAACGTATAAAACATTAGCGGCAATTGCCAAGCGTAGGTACATGAGGTACATTATTTATAATAATATAAAAGTTTTAGTATACACTTTCTTTATATTTTTAGAATGAGTATAATAAGATACATTGGATTGTTTTTTAACGCGTCCAACGCGGATCGTATTTATGAATTAATAATATCTTATTGTAATAATATATAAATTTGCGAAGAAAATTGAGCCTTAGTTTTGTCTGCAACACATAGTTTCTGTGAAACAAATTAAATATTTTTTCTATTTTTTTTTTGTTTTTACACGTTCACCTCCGATTGCATTAATCAAATGATATTGTTATAACATTTACATTTGCGAAGAAAACCGTGGCTTTGTTTGAGTGTGCACCACATGCTTTTTGTTTAACGAATTTAATATTTTATAATATCACCAACATAATAATGCTGACCAATCAATTGTTTTTTTCAACTTTCTTTATTTGTTTTTATTTATTAACTTTAGAATGAGCAATAATATATACAACGTGAGCGGGAATTGCCGGCTGTATATTGGGACCGAAGACCGCACCCGACGTAAGCATAAATTTGATTAATCTATATTTAGTATTTACAATACATACAATTAGAAACGAATACAATTATATCTACCCGTTTCAGAATGTTACAACTGTGGCTAACGAGGACACCTCTCCCGGGATTGCGGTGAGTGTTTACTTTACATATTCCTTAATAACAGTCTTAATATTATGTATATAAATTGTAAATTATATTGTAGCCAAGTCCAGAGGTGTAGGTGGTGGCCGCGATGGTGACGGTGGTAATCGGCGGTTAGGTGGTGGCGGCGGCGACGGCAGTGGTCGTAGTGGTGGCCGGCGGCGAGGAGGTGGTGTCGACGTCGTCAGTGGTCGTGATGGCGTAAGGCGTCGGGGAGGTGGCAGTGGTAGGGGAGGTGGCAGGGCTTTCCGTGCTAGGCCCCTCTCCAGATCCCGCTCCCCAACATCACTACCATCGTCAAACGTAAGGATATATATTTATATTTAAAAATAAATCTAATTACATTTCTATATAAATCTAACTAAACGAATAATTTTCAGGAGGTTCGTCGGCGACAGTCGCAGAGCCGAGCGGCCGCGGCTCGACCGTCCAACGCTGTAAGTATATATTAGTATAATATTTAAAGATATATTAGTAAAATAGGTATTTAAAAAAATATTCAAGTTTTCGAAATTGATAAGTCTAATTAAATGAATAATTTTCAGGAGGTCCGTCGGCCACGGTCCACCGGAGCGGCGCCACCGTCGCGACCGTCCAACGCTGTAAGTATACTCGTATATTAGTATAATATTTAAAGATATATTAGTAAAATATTTAAAAAAATATTCAAGTTTTCGAAATTGATAAGTCTAATTAAATGAATAATTTTCAGGAGGTCCGTCGGCCACGGTCCACCCGAGCAGCGCCACCGTCGCGACCGTCCAACGCTGTAAGTATACTCGTATATTAGTATAATATTTAAAGATATATTAGTAAAATATTTAAAAAAATATTCAAGTTTTCGAAATTGATAAGTCTAATTAAATGAATAATTTTCAGAAGGTCCGTCGGCCACGGTCCACCGGAGCGGCGCCACCGTCGCGACCGTCCAACGCTGTAAGTATATATTAGTATAATATTTAAAGATATATTAGTAAACAATTTTAAAAATTTTTCAAGTTTTGGAAATTGATAAGTCTAATTAAATGAATAATTTTCAGGAGGTCCGTTGGCAGAGAACCGCCCGAGTGGTGCCACCGTCGGGGCCCTCCAACGTTGTAAGTATAATATCTTAGTATAATATTTAAAGATATATAAGTAAAAAATTTAAAAAAATATTCAAGTTTTCGAAATTAATAAGTCTAATTAAACGAATAATTTTCAGTCAACAGATGACATGTACGTGACGGCGGTGTCGACACCGCGAGCTAATGTCGTAAGGATATATTGATATATTTAAACGTTTGATATTGATAAATCTATTTTATTATTTTTACATTATTTCCAGAAAATATCAGATCTCTCATACGCCGCCGCCGTGCAACGATGTAAGTATATTATATAGATACTTGAGTTTTTGATATTGTGGCGGACCAATGCCACATGACCTCCCTCCGCCGTCGGTAGTACCGTATATCTTTGATTTTGTTCAACGGTTGGTCACATTGCGATCGCGTCTAGCGGCGGCCTCCGCTTGGTTGCGGCGGCCGACCTGTCTCTCTCTCGTTTTAACTGTTGCTCCGTACGCACGTCCGCAGGATTTAATTAAAAAATAATAAAATAAACCACGCGCTCATTTTTCGCCGCTCGCGTAGCTCGTTCGTTTTTCTTCCAAAAACGCCGCACGAAAACGCACGTGACCAGCCGCTCACCTCCGAGTACCGATCGACTCGATCTGCTCGCCCTGTTTGTAAAATATAATTGTCTTTTGTAATAAACCGCGCATCGCGCACCTTACACGTATACGCGTAATTGTTTATTTAGTAATCGTTGGTGTTCGGTCGTGATAACGACCCGAACCCCACATTGGTGACCTCTTCAAGTGCAAAGTTTTCCTTTGCGTACACGCACGAATTCGTAACCGCCGTTTCCGCGCTGAGTGTTTCCGCACGTTTTCGCAATACACGCGTCATCGTAGTGCACGTACCCGTCGTACGAGTGGTGATCTTGTTCCGTGTTAACCGTCATGGCCGCCGAAGGAAACGCGCCTAATATCCAGAACGTCGCCGGCAACCTGAACCAAGTCGTTGAGGACATTGCAAACATGCGGCTTCCGGCATTTTGGAAGCGCTCTCCGACACTTTGGTTCAACTACGCGGAATCTACGTTCGTAACACATCGCGTCACTGCCAACGCGACTAAAGTACATTTCGTCGTCAGCGCTCTAGACGAAGAGGCAGTACGCAACATCGGCGACCTCCTGAACACAGCCGCTCCCTACTCCGACATCCGTACGCGTCTCATCAGCGCCTATGAGGTGCCCAGAGCGCTGCTTTTCCGCGAGATCGTCAAGCCCGGAGGTTTGGGTGACCGCCGACCGTCGCAGCTGCTTCGCGACATGCGTAACAGTATGCCACCTGGCATAGGCGAAGACGCATTGAAAGAATTCTGGCTTCAGAAACTCCCGTCGAACGTGACCGCCATACTCGTCAGCCTCGACGCATCGTTGGACGAACTGGCTGCGCGCGCCGATCGTATTTTGGACGTGTCCAACCCGCAGAGCGTCGATGTTTTGTCCAAGGGGCAATTTAGCGAACTGGCCGACGCAGTATCAGTGTTGTCACAGCAGGTCAAGTCCCTCACTCAAATCGTCAACTCCACGGATAAACCCTCGCGACCTCGATCTCGGGCACCCGCGCGCTCGGACGCGCAGCAACCGGGGAAAATGTGTTTCTACCACACCAGGTTCGGCAAAAGGGCGCGCGCTTGTCAATCGCCGTGCAGTTTCGAACAGGAGTCGCGGGAAAATCCCGCGTCCGCGCCCGCGGAAAACTGAGGAGCGCGCACAGGCCACCCGCCCTGTACGTCGTCAGTAATTCCACGCGGGTACACATCAACGATCAACGTTCCGGCAAGCTGTTCCTCATTGACACGGGCGCTGAAATTTCGGTCATACCGTATAGCTACGGCTCACACCAGCCGTCCGACTTACACCTCACAGCCGCCAACGGAACACGCATCAAAACGTTCGGGCCCAAAACACTTGTGCTCGACCTCGGACTTTCGCGTCCTTTCACATGGACTTTTGAGATGGCTGATGTCTCACGCTCCATCATCGGTGCCGACTTCCTACGCTATTTTGGCCTCCTCGTCGACGTCCGGCAACAACGCCTCGTCGATCCTGCCGACAAGCGAGCAGCCACCTGTGCAGTGACAGCCGCACCGTCGGTACACACCGCCTTGCTCACCGTCGCTCGCTCTCCGGATTGGGATAGATTACTCCAGGACTTTCCAAGCGTGACCCGTGAGTCACCCGTACCTGAATCATTCCGACACGGAGTAGAACATGTCATCGAAACCAGAGGACCGCCCCTTTTCGCGCGTCCGCGGCGGCTGCCTCCCGATCGGCTCGACATCGCGCGCCGTGACTTCGAGCTGATGCAAAAACAGGGGATTTGCCGACCTTCATCTAGCGCGTGGGCCAGCCCTCTGCTATTGGTGCCCAAGAAGGACGGGTCTTTCCGCCCATGCGGCGATTACCGCCGGCTGAACAGCGTCACCGTTCCAGACCGGTACCCGCTTCCCTACCTGCAGGACTTCACCGCCAACCTTGCAAAAAAAAACGGTCTTCACTAAGCTCGATCTGGTCCGCGCCTACAACCAAGTCCCGATCGCCGCTGGTGACATCCACAAAACCGCTGTGACAACACCGTTCGGCCTTTTCGAGTTTCCAGTAATGTGTTTCGGCCTGTGTAACGCCGCACAAACCTTCCAAAGACTGGTCAACACTGTTCTCGCCGGCCTCGACTTTGTTTTCGCTTACGTCGACGACGTCCTCATCGCCTCCGCGAACGCCGACCAACACGTCGAACATGTCCGCACCGTACTCGGCCGTTTCGAGGAGTTCGGGATAGCCATCAATCCGGCGAAGTGCGTTTTCGCCGCGAAAACGCTCACCTTTCTCGGACATGTAGTCGATGCGCAGGGCTTGCGCCCTAACCCGGACAGCGTCGACGTTATACGACGGTGGCCGCAACCGAACACCAAAAAAGAACTACAACGTTTTCTCGGATCATTGAATTTTTACCACCGATTCGTCCGAGGCGCCGCCAACGTTCAAGCACCACTGTACGATATTTCCGCGGCAATTAAAAAAAAGGACGGCCCACTCGCATGGACTGACGCCGCCCGGAAGGCGTTCGCGGCCTGCCGAGAGGCACTCGTTACCTCCGCGCTTTTGGTACACCCGCAGCGCGACGCACCGTTGCGCCTCACCACAGACGCTTCCAATATCGCGGTCGGGGCAGTCCTGGAGCAGTCCGTCGGCAATAGATGGCAACCACTCGGGTTTTTTTCACGTAAACTCTCCGGCGCGCAGACACGGTACAGTGCGTACGACCGCGAGCTGCTCGCAGCCTACCTAGCCGCACGACATTTCGTACACGCGATCGAGGGCAGATTCGTCACGCTCCGTACGGATCACCGCCCACTACTGTTCATGTTTTCGCAAAAGGCCGAGAAACTCATCGACCGTCAAGCGCGGCACGTCGCGTTCCTATCACAATACTTCCACGAGGTCGAACACGTCAGCGGCGAACTCAACATCGTCCCCGATGCACTGTCGCGCCTGGAGTTGGCTCCCCTCGATAACGGGCTACCTGACCTGGACCAATGGGCAGCGGACCAAGCCAACGACACCGACCTACAGGACATCCTTGCGGGCAGGACGGAGTCGTCACTTGAATTGGACGCACGGCAGACAGCAAACGGACCGGTCTACTTCGACATAGCCTATAACAGGTCAAGACTTTTCGTTCCGCTTCGACAGCGTCGCGCGGTTTTCAACACCTTACACCGACAGGCGCACGGTGGTGGTTCGGCCACAACTGCGCTTATATCGCGACGTTTCGTGTGGCCTGGTATGAACCGAGAAATACGGCGTTGGGTCAAGACATGCGAGCAGTGCCAGAAATCAAAGGTACATAAACACACCGCGACACCGCTGGCTGCGTTCACGGCCCCGGACCGACGTTTCGGCCACATACATTTGGACCTGGTCGGCCCACTGCCCGTTTCGGACGGCGCCAGGTACCTCCTCACCTGCGTCGACAGATTTACGCGTTGGCCCGAAGCTTGGCCCGTCGACAACATGTCCGCTCACACCGTCGCGTCTACACTAGTAACGAATTGGATCGCCCGTTTCGGGGTACCAGACGTCATCACCACAGATCAAGGGCGACAGTTCGAGTCTGACCTAATGCGCGCGCTCAACTCAACTTTCGGGATCCAGCATGTTCGCACGTCCCCCTACCACCCGCAGGCTAACGGGCTTGTAGAACGTTTTCACAGAACGCTTAAGGCAGCGCTCACTGCGCAAGAGTCACCGCACTGGTCCCAGCGACTGCCAATCGTCCTCTTGGCCTTGCGCAACACAGTCAAACCGGACACCGGCGCAACACCTGCCGAACTCGTTTATGGGGCGACCCTTCGCCTTCCTGGTGAGTTGTTCCACTCCGCGCCCTCAGAGATGAAATCGCCGGACTTCGTCACGGCACTTAAGCTGTCCATGGCCGAGCTTCGACCGTCGCCCGGATCTAATCACGACCCGGCCCGACGTATTTTCGTTCCTACGCAGCTCGACTCCGTCAGCCATGTTTTCGTCCGCGTCGACGCGCAGCGCGCTCCGCTTCAACCGCGTTACGAGGGGCCCTACGCCGTACTGGATCGAAGAGAAAAGGACTTCAAGCTTCAGCTGGGCAACCGGACGTCGTGGGTGTCAGTAGACCGGCTCAAACCTGCCTTCGTCCTCCGCGAGGACCCAGCCCTGGACCACTCGTATGCCATGCAGTCCATGTCCGTACATAGATTTCCGACATCGAAAACACCTACGGTATTTTCTCCTTCGTCGGGGGGGAGTGATGTGGCGGACCAATGCCACATGACCTCCCTCCGCCGTCGGTAGTACCGTATATCTTTGATTTTGTTCAACGGTTGGTCACATTGCGATCGCGTCTAGCGGCGGCCTCCGCTTGGTTGCGGCGGCCGACCTGTCTCTCTCTCGTTTTAACTGTTGCTCCGTACGCACGTCCGCAGGATTTAATTAAAAAATAATAAAATAAACCACGCGCTCATTTTTCGCCGCTCGCGTAGCTCGTTCGTTTTTCTTCCAAAAACGCCGCACGAAAACGCACGTGACCAGCCGCTCACCTCCGAGTACCGATCGACTCGATCTGCTCGCCCTGTTTGTAAAATATAATTGTCTTTTGTAATAAACCGCGCATCGCGCACCTTACACGTATACGCGTAATTGTTTATTTAGTAATCGTTGGTGTTCGGTCGTGATAACGACCCGAACCCCACAATATTGATGATTCTAATGAAACCTATTTTTTTCAGGCGCTGATAGCAGACAGCAGTAAGTTTTTAACAGGAACATCTTTTCTCAACAAAAAATTTGCTATTTTTATTTGTTTTGTTTTTTCAGATAATCAATAAAGATTTTTTACATCATGACTTTATTTAATTTCTTTTCCTTTTCAACTTTTTTATATTAATATTATGTGTAAATTGCTATTAGTTACCAATGCATATAGTTCATACTATTACAATACAACAATCAGAAATAAAGGTTCTAAGAATGTCAGTGACCTAAGGTATTGCATGGGATATATAAAGATTTGCATGTAACAAATACACCATCAGTAAGATGTCATTAATTAGTATATTGTATTGTTATTGAAATTAAAATATTTCATAACTACAATGAGTAAAACAAATAGGTACAACCTCAATTGAATACATTTTGAAAATATCAATAATTTAATTTCATGTGTAAATATTGTTCAAACGTCAGACATAAAAATACCAATAATATTATAATTTGTACAGTGGCATTACTCTACTAAAATAAATAAATGAACAGTCTACTAAGTTACTATAATATGTACAACTATTGAATGGTGGTTAAACGTTTAGCATAAAAAAGTGAATAATAATATTATTATATTTTGTATCACTACTATCAGCAATGTAGTAGGTAGTAGCACACAGTTGCACATCACATGATGTTATATATATTATCGTTATCAAATAAAACTAAGTAGAAATAAATGTAAATAACATCATACGCATTATCTTCTCATTTATATAGTATGCATTGTTATTAGTTCATATTTTTTCATTCTATTATAGTTAGGTTATGTTATACTTATGAACCGAATAGGACAAAAATGTTGTGCTTATAAAACAAAGTATTTAATTAATTAATTCACTCTTTTTGAGGGGATCGATTCCCAGTCCCAAGAAATGTGTGTATTTTAAATGAATTGTTACAAAATGTATGTTTTCCAAATTATTTATTATTATGATATACAAAACAAATATTGTCAATGTTAATATATATTTAATTTAATGAACTGCAATTTATATACACAGCAGCAATAATCTAATAATTGAATACAAATCACAATATAAATCAACTGAAAGAATCGCATAGAAAGAAATACAATTATTAATTAATAGTGCTTAAAACAAAACAAATACTCTTTTGCCGAGTAAAACATATAATTATATAAATGTAAATTATATAAATATTGCAATAATTACATTTATAATAGTATATACGGTCACAGTAGTAGTAATATATTAGTAATAGTAATAAAATGTCAATCATTAAAACTAATTCTCTATTAGTGTGTTAAACAATTAATAAAAATATGAAAATCATGTATACAATAATTATACGTGAAATTGTATAAAATTTACATTTATAATAATAGTAATACAATTAACTCAAATCTCGACCATTAATACAATACAACAGTTCAGGGGTGTACA